GCGTGTCGCCGCTTTGTGACTAGGCGTGTCGACCTTCCCTACCTTGCCGCCGATAGCTCCACCATCGCTGGATGCGCTCCGCTTGTGCAGGATCTGGTGGGCGCTAATCTAGAGGGCACGTAGCTGCCGGCGCTCGACGAAGCAAGGCCATGGCCACCTACGCGCGCTGAGCTAGAGGGCCGCGCGGCCGTCGGCGCTCGACGGAGCAGGGCCACAGGCGTCGTGGCGGAGTAGGACCGTGGCAGCGAGAATCTCTAGCCACGACATCGAGCTAGGCCTTGCAGGAGAGACAGAGAGGATAGAGGAGTGGCAGCACCAAAAGAGCGATGAGGACCTTGCAACACCAAAAGAGCAGGTCGTGGCACTGGCGACGGCGGCGGCGACGAGCTACAGTGATGCCGAAGACGGCGGGCGGCGGCGTAGCCTGTGGGCTTAGATGGGCCATCGTAACCCACCCGTATGGTCTGTTAGATGAGTTTTGCAAGCTTTACCATTGATCCTAATGGACGTAGTAGATACGAGTGACTGTAGAGAAAAGTGGATGCGCAGAGGATCTCATTCCGGTGATACTACTGACTGTGGCCCTGTTTGGATACTCTAGCTCGGCTAGAGGTTAGAGCTAGTTTCTAGCTCTAGACTAGCCCTGAACTAACTCTAGCTCAAGAGGTGTTTGGATGCAAGGGTTAGATTAACAATAAATATACTTTTCTAATCATTTAGCTCATTTAAACCATCTTTCCAGCCGGATTTGGTGTGACAGGCTCTTGTGTGGCCTCCTCCCACACACAAATGATACAAATACATTATTTTTACAAATCAAGCATCCAAATCAGAATAAATTTTAATTTGTCCATACATATGAGATGTGTCACTCAAACTTACAAGTCCTCAATCAAGCTAAACAAAAAAATTACACTCCATGAAACAAAGCATGAGCTAATTCATCACGGAAGGCATTCATGTTGACATCTTCAACAAGAGGTTCATCTTCTGGCCATGCTGATGTCGAAGAACTAGGCATTGGGTTATAATTTTCATCCGCATCATAAGCATCAAATTCTCTATCCGCAATTCTGCTCTCTCGAATAAAATTATGAAGAGCCATACAAGCAACAATAATTCTAGTTTACTTCTCTGGAAATCTTGGCATGTTCAACAAAATCCTAAACTTCATCTTCAACACTCTAAAAGTTCGCTCTATGACATTCCTAACTTTGGCATGTGCATGGTTGAAGGTTTCTTTCATACCTTGTGGCGGCGGGCCGTTTTGCCATTGCTCCACATGGTACCTTTGTACATCTGTATGGTGAAAGGTAGCCCGACCGGTTTGGGTACCCCGCATCAACCACATAATACTTCCCTACATATTTTCAAAGGCACATAATGAGACTTAGATGAACAAGTGTAATTGGATAAAAAATTTTGCAAGAAAGTTCAAGTAGCAAACCTGGTGGTGGATGTGGAAATTTGTGATGATGAGTAGTTATGGCATCTTTGAAAACTCTCATGTCATGTGCTGAACCAGGCCATCCCGACAACACAAAGGTAAATCTCATGTCGAAATCACAAACAGCAAGCACATTCTGACTGGTCTCATTGTGCCTGTTCAAGTATGGAACTCTCTTACTCTTATCCACCACAATCTTCACATGTGTCCCATCTATAGCTCCTATGCACTCGTTGAAGTGTGGCCAGAATGCTGGATTTTCTAAGTTTGGGTGCACTTCTGGAAATGTTGGGTCCTTGGATTTAATGTTGTTATGTGCTAACCTAAGGAGGCACCTCAAAACTCTGTTAAATGTCCTGCTTACTGTCTCCAGAGACCTCCTAAAATGATTATCAGCCTGTCTAACTGACTGTGGTGCACCAACAATCCATAAAAATATAGCAAGAGCCTCTATAGATGTCATTTTTTAGTGGACTTCAACCCATACCTCTGGACCAAAGTACTATGCAACCTGTAAAATAAAGGTCTCTCAACCCTAAATATGTTGTAACATTGGGTTTCTCGAGCTAGTGTCTCATGCACCCAATCCAAACCAGAATCTCCAGTGACCCTCTTAGGTAGTTTCAGGAAGTAGTTATCAGAGTACATACCCAAGATAGGAACCAACTGCAAAATCAAATTTTGTTGCTGCACCAAATTATTGCGGCACATGGATATAATTTCATCCTCACTTGAGCTGCCTCCATCATCTTCTTCTTCCTCAACCATGGGGCCATGATCATCTTTCTGCTTCAACACATGTAACAAACTATCAGCACATAGCATAAAACTTGAACCAGGGTAAGCAAATTAATTCAACAAATTAATACTTCAACACTTGACATCACAGCTCATAGATTAATTTAAATAGGTTCAAGCCATAGCATAAAGGATCATTACACCACACAGATAATAGTTCACACGCACATATAATAGTTCAACACCTCACACATAGATAATAGGTTCAACACACATGGACCCAAAAGATCCTAACTACTCCAAATTGTTGTCCCTGCACCATTTCTTGAAGTAACCCAACCTAAGCTCAGGAGTTAACTGGCCATAGAAGAACTCCATTTGGTACTCTATTTCGAACATCTTGGACATAGCATAGACAGAGTCAACGGTTTTCTCAACGCCACACTCAAATGCCAGCTCTTGACACCTCTTGATAGAAAATGCAGCCTTGTCATTTGCACGTTTCTGGATTTGCTTAGTGTTGGCTGCGACAGATTCATTGAAGGTACTGGCTATGTCCTTCACAATCTTCATCATTGGGCTGTTGCTCCTCTTCACTGGACTGGTCATAGTGCTTGTAGTGCTGTTCAATGCCCTCTTGCCCCTCTGGCTCCTCTGGCTGCTTCTACTTGTAGGTGTTTGTACAAACTCTTCTTCTTTATCATCTTCTATCCTTGCATCTTGCCCCTCATTGTCACCATAATCATCACCAGGCACAAAGACTGTGGTGCCATCCACAGTGTACCCTCTGAACAGTTCATCAAGCAAGTCCTCGTTTGCTGGAGGACTCGTCAGCAGCTTCTTTAAGTATGATTTTTTCTGTTAAGATATGAGAGCACAAAAGTTGATTAGAAACTAGTTATGACAGGAGAATATCAGCTATTTACAATAAAGATGTATAATCAGGCACCACAACATAGCACAAGCATCATTTTTTTCACATGCACTAGCTGTTGCTGCAGTTCACACTCACTAATGTACAGCCAAGTAAAACAGAAGACAATCCAAACTAAAGGATAACATCATGTACAGCCAAGTAAAACAGAAGACAATGATAAGTTCCTATGTGCAACGACTTGCATTGATCAAATTTGAAGCAAGCATAGAGTAACCAAGCATACTAGTTAATACTAGTTAAGATTTGAGAGCACAAAAATATGCTAAGGAATATTGTACCTCTGTGTGAGTTAGCCAGAAATCATGATATGCATCAATGGATCCATCTGGTCTCCTCCCCAACCCTGTGTGCGTTTGCAAGTAGCGCCATAAAGCGTGGATGTTTTTTAGTACGCCTATTTGGTTCTTCACTTGTCCACGGGTGTACACCAACCTTCTTCTAGCAAGTAAGCCATCGACAACGGCTTGGTACCCTTCACCACTCATTTGTGAACCATTATACGTTCCTGCTCTACGTTGCTCTATGCACAATTCTAACAAGCAAGCATTATTTGCATCATTCCATTGGACTCGACTGGCATGGCTCATCGGGGGACCGCCGGAGCTCACTAACTCCTCCACGTTATCCTCCATTGCTTCATCGTCAATGTTGAAGGTAGCGCCGGAGCCGAATGCTTGCCCACGGACGCCACTCCTCGGTGCCCTCGGTGCTCGGGGAAGCGGTACACCCTGGCCACCGCTGCCATGGGAAGCCGTGTTGGTGCACTGGGGACACCGGCCGGCTGCTGCGGCGGCCAAGTTCGCGCGCTGCCGAACACCACCGCCTGCCCCCAACGACGACCTGTCGGTGTAGCCGCCACCATTTCCTCCTCTACGACCGGCTGCCGCCGAGGAGGAGCCGCCAAAGAGCAGTTGTTGGGCATGCTGGGGCGTCGGAGTCGCCCACGCGTCTCCTGCTCCGGCACGCGGTGGGCAATAGGGAGGGAGGCCGGAGCCCCTGCCGCGTCCAGGAAGGAGCTCGATGTCGTCGCCCTGGAGGAAGTCTTCGTACAACCGAAGCCTCGAGAACCCCTCCGCCGCCGGCGCTTGCGAGTTGAGGTCGAGACCGGCGCGGGCAGGGCCGCTCGCCGACGGCTGCGAGCTCCACAAGTCGTCGAATCCGTCTCCGTCCATGGCGAACTTCTCTAGATCAGAGCACAGCAGAGCGGGGCCGATTTGGAGGTACGAAGACGTGGCTCACTCTCACCTGCGCAGCAAGTGGCCCGGTGGAGGCGACCTGCTGTGGCCGGAGCTTATGGCGGCGGCGGCCTGGGAGACGGAGGGGAAGGGCGCGGCGGGAGGGAGGGAGGCGGCGCGGGCGACTGAGATCCGCCTCCGGGGGGTCGACGGTGCTGCTCCTTTGGCGGATTGAAGCGGCGGCGGCGTGGTTGGGACCGGCGGCGGCGCGAGTCGCGATGGGGGGATGGGAGTCGTGAGGATCTGGTGCGGGTGTAGTAGTAAAAAATAAGAGTTTCTAGTGAGCCCCACCAGAACTAGACCGAATAATCATCTTTTTTGGGATAGTTTTTTGGGTGGGCTAGTTGCAAATAATCTACTCTAGCCCTCCTGTTTGGACACTTTTGAACTAGTTGAGCTCAAACTAGCACAGCCCTGCTGTATTTGGCAAGCTACTACATGTGCTCTTTAAAGCTTGGCTGGCCATAAGCACATTCAGAGCAGGACGATCGCAGCCCTCAGCCAGTCCTGAACCGTAGATCCGACGGCCTCACCCAACCCTCCGGCCATGCACGCCGCATTATAAATCCGGCCATCTCGCCCCGCTCCGACCACAACACTAGCGGCGCGCCAGCCCCGGGCATGTGCTAGTGTTCCCGCGGCGATGGAGTGGGGCAGCGCCTCCGCCGGCGGCGGCCGCGGCGATGATGAGGAGGAGGAAGTAGTAGAGATCGACTCCTTGGCCGGGGGCCCGGGGTTCTCGGTGGCCATGAAGGGCGTGCTGAGCGCCTGCGGCATCGTGGTCTCCGACGCGCTCGAGCCCGATTTCCCCGTCATCTACGTCAACCGCGGGTTCGAGGTCGCCACCGGCTACCGCGCCGCGGAGGTGCTCGGGAGGAACTGGTGAGCCGCCGCTTAATTAACCTGCCTGCTCCAGCTTCGATTCCATAACCGCGTGCTTTTCAATTCGATCTCGTTGGTCCGTGGTGATGTGCGGGGGCGGGAGATTAGTTTGTTATTTGATTTGAGGAGCCGGAGGCGGGAGTTTAAACTCTTATATAATCCATCAAATTGTTTTCTTGGAGTGGGAATCTAAGATGGAAACAACTCTTTATCTCTTTAGATTTTGTATATACTAGCATAAGTAGTTAGGGAGAATATTTTTAGGTTCTTTATTTACAATTCTTCAGACGAAAATGATCAATTTGCCCTGAATGTTTCCCATGTGGCAAGTATCCCTTGAGAGTTGTTGGAGCTGATTTGTTTTTTCTTCAACAGTGTGGGTTTAGCCGTTTATTACTGAAGCTAGTTTCTAATATAGGTTAAAACGAGGTACAAATGATAACTTACGGTTAGTGGTAGCCTATTGTTCCTGATACTGTTTCGGAGAATCATTTTGACAAGGAACAATCTGGGTTTGCTTAATTGTTCATTTTTGTGCCTTTCGCCTTTCTAAAAAATGTTCATTTTTGTGCTATCAATCTGTATGTAACTCCTTTTTTTGTTAAAAAAAAGAAATAAAGAAAATTGTATATGCTGGCACCTGGCAGTGATCTTTATTTAGTATTATTATGGGAAACTAGCTTAGTAACTAGGAATCTAGAATTGATGCATGGAGTTTGCTAGATAGAAGTGCCCGCTGTTTGGTGTCTATTAGTAGCCAGAGAAGAGAATATCATGAATTGTTAGTTAGCTTATCGATCAAGGACTTGTGTGAAGATTGAGGCCGAGAATTTTAATCTATTGCTACAGTTGTTGAACGTCCTACTGCCAACTGTTCTGTGTCACATATGTTCCTTTTCTAGTTCAGTCTTGCAACAACAAATTGCAGATAGAATTGTACTTCACTAATATGTTCCTTTTTGCACATATATGCTTCGTGTCATCTGACTGCAAATTGCACCACTTCCTCTTGGTCTGCAGATTGCTGTTGTAAATAGATTTTTATTGGCACCTTTTATAGAAAGACGTACACTAATACCTTACTGTGTTGATGATGCTAGAGGTTGTTGGTGGTGCTAGCAAGACCAGACTCCTGCTCTACTACCTTAGATAATAAAGTCATATCCATCCTGGTGGCCACAGTATACTACCAGTGGTTCTAGCAACTAAGTTGGTTCAGAGACCTTATAGAAATGCCTTAAAGGGTTTCAATTAATATATGAGAATGTAGACCTGGGGTTGGATTGCTTGAAAAGTTTAGACGAAAGCAGAGAAATCTTTAGTTGCCATGAAAATCATACTAGTTGGGAATTAATTAATGGTAGAAACTAGAAATAACCAGATTATCTATGGTGGCCTTCAGTACCAGTCATGTGGATCAAACATCTAAGCCACACTAAATGTAATCTAAAGCACATCAGGGAACTTCTAAATATAGATTGCTTGTCACTGAGTTCATTGGAGGCTTTGGAAGGAACGCAACCGGCAGGTTTTCAATGGGTCTTTCGACACAGCGCCCACCATCGTGCTACCCAATCTGGGAGGAGATCACACCGCTTGGGTGCAAGCGGGGTATCAAAGGTTGCACTCTTCCATGTGTAATAGTTTTTGCAGGCATAGGTCACTTTCTGATCTGTTTGTTTGTAATAGCCAATTTCGAACACAGTGACATTCAGGCTCTTTTTCTAGCCTGGACATATACTGAACTCAGTGCCAGGCATGTTTTAGAGGGAAAAAAACTTATGCCTCTTTTTTTTTTTTTTTCTTTCTGTTGCAGCCGATTTCTGCAGTGTAGAGGACCATTTGCTCAGAGCAGGCATCCCCTTGTTGACGCAGCAGTTGTTACTGAGATTCGGAGATGTTTAGAGGAAGGGTTAAAGTTCAATGGCGACGTGTTGAATTTTAGAAAAGATGGTTCTCCGTTCATTGCAAGGCTGCAGTTGACGCCCATGTACGGATACGGAGACGGAATAATAACACACTACATGGGCATGCAGTTTTTCAGCGATTCTGACGTTGATCTGGGGCCGTTGCCGTTGCTGCTGCCGTCGCCGTCGCCTGGCTCTGTAACAGTGGAACTCGCGAGGTCCACATGGATTGCACCTGGCAGCAGTAGCACTGACGAGCCACCAGCTTCCTTGCCGGAGGCCGCCGGGGATGATGCAGGGCCGACGGTGGGCGAGGCCGCCAACGTGGAGGCGGCGGCGACCGCGACGGTGACCGGAGGAAATTCGTGCGGCCGCTTCGATCGTCGGGCGATCGCGTTGCTGACAGACACGAGCCCACGCAGTGACCGTCGAGTGGAGGAGGAGGAGCTCTTCGGGTGCGAGAGGGAGTGTCATGCTGATAAGTCCCTGGCGACTCAGCTCCGGCAAGCTCGAGCAGAGAAACGACGCCCGCGAGGACAGGAGAGGTCCGCTACCGCCTCCAACAAACGCTTGCTTGGCGACTGACTGAACTCAAGTCGCCTCCGCCAACGCGCAAGCCTGCAGTCTGCTTGGTATGGTATGGTGTATATGGTATATGGACCATATGGTACATGGTACATGGTACATGGTATGGTAAAAGGTACAGAGCTTGGGCACGTTCTCTTGGATCTGAGCCCGGCAACCGGCATGCCAAGCCACTAATTTTGGTCTTCGTTTGATTGGAGGCCCAATTTTGGCAGCCAAAAAGAATATTTGGTCGGGGCAACGCTTTCTCAAGCAGTTTGCTTGCAAGATCTGGGCGACCAAAACAGCCGCCTCAATTTGGCTTTCACATGCTCATGCTTGGGCACTCCATCCACACGACGTCGACGGGGACGCCGGCCGCGCGCGAACGACGGCCTCGGGCGATCGGGCGACAAACGAACGCAGCTTGCACGCTTTCCTTTAATCTTTGCTTTTGTCATTGTTTTTGTTTTTTGCATGAGACGTGACAGTCCTGTGTGTATTGTGCAATATACGCTGTATGGTATACTAGGCTATTCTTTTGTCACAGTTCTGTACATGCATCCTTGTTTGTGAAACCTCTTTCCGAAAGCAAACAAGACAAACGCAGCCGCATCGGGAGGCAGGAGGCATGTGGCAGCGACAAACGAACGCAGCAGCCGCATCGGGATCGGGCGGCAGGAGGCAGCCACCCGTACCAATCCTACGGTAAAAAAAAACGGTTGCTACCTGGACGCAAAACAACCGGTTATCCATTAGCAAATCTGTATCCAAATATTGGCATGTTTATAAGCAGAGACTCTGTAAAATAGATCTTTAAAAACTAGGATATAGAGGATATGTAAAATAGATAGCCTTCCAAATAATTGAAGCACCGCAACAGTCTCTTCAAAAGTTCAGCCGCTATCTATGGCCCTGTTCGCTAGAAGAAATTTGGAGAAATCTGGAGGAATTTGTGAGAGTATGAACAGTGAATTTCATCCGTGAACAGTGAATTCCGGCTGGTTTTCTTACCAGGCGAACAACGCCTATATTTGATTGGACACGTCAACAGATGAGATTTTTCTCTGTCAAAATCGGACTGCATGCAGATGGGAATAGCCAGGGTTGAGGCGAATGGTGAGCGGAGCCCCCTCGCCAATTCTACCGACCTACAAAACTAGAATAGAGGACTCGACATTTTGAAAATGGAGGGGCGGATCCCGGTGTGGGCTGGGGGGAGGGGGGGGGGGGTTTGGGGGCTCGAGCCCTCTACCCAATTGAGCAATGAAACCTCCTGACCTACAAAATTTTTAGAATCTATAGTGTAGGTGGAGTGCGACTTAAGATCAAACAAAGAATCGAGATATAAACTTCAGGCTCCCTAAAATTATTCACAATTCACCGCATTTTTACAAACTCAAAATTTGCAAGCAGAACTTTAACGAGTCTCTTCGAGATGCTCTCCAAATATATATACAAGATCTGCTTTTTTTTTTGGCTATATATGGCTTGATTTGGCTGCAGCCAAATTTTGGCTACGGCTTGTGTGGAGCAACAACCAAACAAGCCAAAAATAAAAAAAGAAAATAGTGTCAGGCAAGGTTTTGGGCAGAGAGGACTTTAGAAGATTTCTGTGTTTATATATAGAAGAGGTTATTTTGAGGTCCAAATTATAAGTTTTTCTAATTTTATTGGAGAGTCAAAACATCTTGAGTTTGACCTAAAATTTTAAAAAGAATTACAAAAAAATTATGATATCAAATAGATATACTATGAAAATATAATTAATGAAAAATCTAATGATATTTATTTAATATCATAAATGTTATTATTTTATTATATAAATTTTATCAAACTTGAGAAGAAAGTTAAAATGATTTATGGTTTTATGGATGGAGGGAGTAAAATATTTTTCTTCAACCTTTTCTATACACGCACCCTCAGAATCAGAAGGATGATCGCAGCCGTCCACCCTCTCTGCCCCGGAGATCCGACGGCGCAGATCGTCCACCGGGCGCTGCGTCTTCCCAAACGCCTCGCCTCGCCGTCGTCGTCCACTCGTTCGTCGCTGCCTCCTCCACCACCACCTTCCAGTAGTCCAGTGCCACCGCCTTGCCCTCCCCCCGATTACCCCCCGCGGTTAACCTCTCCAATCCGGTCCCGCCGCGGTATAAATCCGGCCTTGTCGCCCCGCACCCTTCGTCGCACCCCGCTCCGACCACAACCCTAGCGGCGCGCCCCGGCATGGGCTAGGGTTCCCGCGGCGATGGAGTGGGACAGCGATTCTGACGGCGGCGGCGGAGATGACGAGGAGGAGGAAGAAGAGGTCCGCCCCGGGGGCGGGGGCGGGGACGCGGGCCCGGGCTTCTCGCTGGCCATCGAGGGCGTGCTGGGCGCGTGCGGCATGGTGGTCTCCGACGCGCTCGAGCCCGACTTCCCCATCATCTACGTCAACCGCGGGTTCGAGGAGGCTACCGGATACCGCGCTGAGGAGGTGCTCGGGAGGAACTGGTGAGCCGACTGACACGCTCCTGCTTCGATTCGATCACCACGTGTTTCAATTCAAGCTCGTTGGTCCGTGGTGATGCGCGGGGGCCGGGGATTTGTTCGTTGCTAGAGGAGGCGCTTGGGGGCGCGGATAGTTAGGTGATCCACCACGGGAAGTTATTTAGCGTGCTTGTTGCTGTTTCGTGGTGACTTCAGTCTTCAGCAACCATAGGTAATATTTGGATTTGTAATGGCTGTCTGGAATCAAATCGGGGTGCTGTTTACCTGCTTTGCTAGGTTGAATTGCTAACAGGCAGTTTTCTTTCTTTTCTAGTGTTAGCTTAAGCTTTGTGAACCGCAGCAATCAAGGGTTCCATTTCCATGAACTACTGCAGCAACTAGAGTCTTGACGGTGTTTGGTTTATGTGCCTGCTTGGTTGGCTTCCAATTCTTGTCCAACCAAAATCATGGCAAGCCAAAACTTTTAGTCATTAATTGGTTCATTGCCAACGAATTGGCACACCAATGTTTATGGCCAAAGTTTTGGCAAGTCTCTACAAACTTCTTAAACTGCATAAGAGAGAAAAAGTGTTTCTACTATTGTTACGGCACTTAACCAAATGTACACCTATGTTTTTGGCTATACAACGTATCCTACAACCCATAGAGGTCAAAGCATCTGCATTGTTGCTGGCAACTAAACTTGCTGCTGCAATAAATGTCCAAAGACCAGTCTTTATAACAAACAATGAAGTTTTGGCGACTGCGGCAAACATGAGGGACCTCCTCCATAATCCTGGTCACTGCGGCCAATCCTAGCAGACTTTTCAGCTAGCACAGCGAACATGATGCATTCTATCATTAAAATTGGTAGAGATGCAAATTCAGTGGCTGACAATCTCACAAAAAAAGCAAGGCAGGCTGCAATTCCTAGTTCTTGTTTGTTCTCTTTTGAGTCTTGAACACATTCTAGAAATTGTACTATCCAGATGGCTCTGGAAAACTTTCAATGGGACAATTTTTGCCCCATCTCTGTATTTTGTATTTAAGCTTTGAATGAAATTTACCTTTAAAAAAAAAAGTTTGGTTTGCCATGATTTTGGTTGGTCAAGGATTGGAAACCAACCAAGCAGGCCCATGACATGTTGCTTCTAGATTCTCCTTAGAGAAAGAGTGGTTTTCAAAAAATTGGTTGGCCCAAATCAGTTTTAACTCCTTTTTTTCAACACGAGGCAACCCCATTTCCATTAGCTTGTAACGGAAATACAGAGAGTTTTGATGAAAGATGTAACAGAGAAGGACCAGATGAAGGATTTGGCATAACAGAAACCTGAATAGAAGGCTGGCTCGACACAGAAATCAGTTTTAACTCCTAATCCATCAAATTGTTTGCTAGGGAGTGGGAATCTAATATGAAAACAACCCATTTCTCTCTTTACATTTTATCCTAGCATAAGTAGCGAGTGCGAGAAGGGCGGGCCTGGTGCAAGCGGTAGAGAGTCTTCACTTTGTGACCGGAAGGTCCCGGTTCGAAGTCATGGTCTCCTCGCATTATTGCAGCGAGGTAAGGCTTGCCACTAACACTCCTTCCCAGACCCATGACAGAGAGGGAGAGAGCTCTCAGACTGGCACGCCCTTTTTATAAGTAGCGAGGGAGAATATTTTTGGTCTCTTTACACTTCTTCACACGATCTGAAAGGAAAATGATCAATTTGCCGCCCACAACTATGTTTCACATGTGCCAAGTATCCCTTGAGAATTGATGGAGCTGGTTTGTTTTTCTTCAACAGTGTGAGTTTAACTGTTTACTGAAGCTAGTTTCTATTTTTCTAAAATATATTTCATAGGTTAAAGCGAGGTTCAAATGATAACTTTGGTTAGTGGCAGCCTGCTGTTCCTGGATCTGTTTTGGAGATTCATTTTGACAATGAATCTGGGTTTACATGTTTTCCTTTTTTCCCCTATTAATCTGTATGGAACTCTTCTTTTTCTTTTTTAAAAAGAAGTTATATGTTTGTATATGCTGTCAGTGATCTTTATTTTGTGTTATGGTGAAACTAGTAGCTAGAAATCTATAATGGATGGAGTTTGCTAAATAAAAGTGCCGGCTTAGTGGTTGTTAATCTTGAAGTGGTGTTAGCCTATTGATGGACTCGTGTGAAGACTAAATCAGAAATTTTAATCTATTCTTACAGTTTGTTGAACGTCCTATTGCCAACTGTTCTGTTTCACATAAGTTCCTTTTGTATAGTTCAGTCTTGCAGCAACAAATTACAAATACATCGATGATATGTTACTTTTCGCATATGTTTCATCTTCTGGCTCCAAATTGCACCACTTCCTCTTGGTCTGCAGATTGTTGTTGAGAATTTTATTGGTATCTAAGATCCACTCAGCATGGTGACCAACTTACGCTTTCGTGTAAAAGGGTTGACCTGGGGTTGGTGTTATAGACTGTAGTCTAGAAGCCTCATATGTTAGTCTAACCCACCCTCAACAACAAAGGTGGGACTAAACCCCCACAATCTCACATAAACACACTCAAGGGCCACAATGGGCCAAATTTAAACTTGCCCAGATGTCACAAGGAAGACTTAGTAATACCTGACCAGCACGATGCTAAAGATTGTTGGTGGCTCCAGCAAAACCGGAATCTTGCTCTGTTATCTTAAATAATTAGTCATATGGTGACCACAATATATTGCCAGTGGTAATAGTAGCTAAGTTCTTTTAGAGACCAAATAGAAATGCCTTAAGGGGTTTTAATTGATATATGTAGACCGGGGGGTGGATTGCTTGAAAAGTATAGGAAAGCAGAAAAAGCTTTAGTTGCCGTGAAAATTATAGTTGGGATTTAGTGGTAGAAACTAGAAATAACTGAATTGTATATGGTGGCCTTCGGTACCAGTCATGTGGTTCAGACATTTAAGGCACACCAAATGTAATCTAACAGTATCAGCAGTAGTTGAATAATGAAAGCACACCATGAACTTCTGAACATACCTTGCTTGATTTTATTCAACTGCTAGTAGAAGAGGGTAAGTTCCATGGTTGCTAGTCTGTTGACATAATACATTTTTTTCTTAATATTTTATTTTTCTTTTGCTTCTGATCAAATGAAAGAATTTAGCATGCTATGTTACTCATTTTGCTAGTACGATGTTCACTAATGTCTTATTTTCTATCGTTTTGATGCTTCTTTTGCAGCCGGTTTCTACAATGCAGAGGACCATTTGCTCAGAGGAGACATCCCCTTGTTGATGCAGCAGTTGTTACTGGGATTCGGAGATGTTTAGAGGAAGGGACTGAGTTTCAGGGTGATCTGTTGAATTTTAGAAAAGATGGTTCTCCATACATGGCAAGGCTGCAATTAACACCCATATACGGAGATGATGAAATGATAACACACTATATGGGCATCCAGTTTTTCAATGATTATAATGTTGACTTGGGTCCGTCGCCTGGCTCTGTAACAAAGGAACTTGCGAGATCCACATGGATTGCACCTGGCAACACTGACTCACCAACTTCAGTAGGCAAGGGTAATTTGTGGGAACATTCTAGTCTCTTTCTGCTGAGTGATGAGGTAATTTGCCAGAAGATCTTGTCTAAATTGTCACCCAGGGATATAGCATCGGTAAACTCTGTTTGCAAGCGACTTTATCACATGACAAGGAATGAAGACCTTTGGAGGATGGTTTGTCAGAATGCATGGGGCACTGAAGCTACTCGGGCCCTTGAGACCGTGGCAGGATCAAGAAGTTTGGCATGGGGCCGGCTAGCACGAGAGTTGACCACCCTTGAAGCTGTTGCCTGGAGGAAATTGACAGTCAGTGGTGCAGTGGAGCCATCTCGCTGCAACTTCAGTGCCTGTGCTGTAGGGAATCGTGTTGTCCTATTTGGTGGAGAGGGTGTTAATATGCAGCCAATGAATGATACATTTGTGCTGGACTTGAGTGCCAACAAGCCAGAATGGAGGCACATCAATGTGAGCTCAGCTCCTCCTGGTCGCTGGGGGCATACCCTATCATGCCTGAATGGATCGCGGCTGATTCTGTTTGGTGGCTGTGGGGGGCAGGGGCTGCTTAATGATGTCTTCATTTTGGATCTTGATGCACAGCATCCAACTTGGCGTGAGATTCCTGGTCTTGCACCCCCTGTACCACGGTCATGGCATAGCTCTTGCACTGTGGATGGAACCAAGCTGGTGGTTTCTGGTGGATGTGCTGACTCTGGTGTTCTTCTCAGTGATACCTACCTCCTAGATGTGACGATGGAAAAACCTGTTTGGAGGGAGATACCTGCATCTTGGTCTCCACCTTGCAGGCTGGGGCACTCACTATCTGTCTACGATGGCAGGAAAATCCTGATGTTTGGTGGTCTTGCTAAAAGTGGTCCTCTAAGACTTAGATCTAGTGATGTGTTCACTCTAGATTTGAGTGACGACAAGCCTTGCTGGCGGTGCATTACTGGCAGCAGGATGCCAGGAGCTGGTAATCCTGCTGGAGTCGGCCCACCACCTCGCCTTGATCATGTTGCAGTGAGCCTTCCTGGTGGGAGAGTTTTAATATTTGGTGGGTCTGTGGCGGGTCTTCATTCTGCTTCAAAACTTTACCTCCTGGATCCAACTGAAGAGAAGCCAACCTGGAGGCTTCTGAATGTTCCAGGGCATCCTCCACGGTTCGCCTGGGGCCACAGTACTTGTGTTGTTGGAGGGACAAAGGCAATAGTTCTTGGAGGACAAACTGGAGAAGAGTGGACGCTAACTGAAATATATGAGCTTTCTCTAGCAAGCTCATTAGTCTGAGATGGGAAGGTCCCAGCAATCTTTCCAGCTTCCTTGAAGCAATGTCTCTGGAGACCAGTTCATGTGACTGAGGCTGATTATTATTTTTTCAACAGTGGGGTGCAAACAATAGGGTTGGTGAAGTGGACAACCAGACCTGATTACTTGTGCCATGCCTGGGAGTTGGCTGGTCTAGAAGTAGGAATAAGTTACCTCTGCTGTTGTTGTTTGTATTGTCTACAATGATGAAATAGCTGGCATCCATAAGCTAATCTCAGTTGTTATCATGTTTCTAAGGGGACTGGCATTGTGTAGCTGGAGCCCGCGTTCTCATGGCGCCGCCGTCGGTGACAAGTGATGCTGTGGTCTTCTGATTTTTGATCCATCAACTGCTGCTTTCTGGAGAAGTTGTAACACTGTTGTATTTAGTTATGCTTTTGCGCCACTTTGTGCTTACTCAATTGCTGCTTTCTGGAGAAGCTGTAACACAAACACCTGTTGTATTTAATTTTGCTTTCATATCACTTTGTGCTTACCGCAGGTGATAGTGATGCCTATAACATTTTATTTTTAATCTGATTATCAAAGGATGAATATCAACAATCCCATCGTATCTGTACATTTATCGCACGTTAATGACTTGATTGGGGCCTGGTGCTGAATGTCAACTGCAATTGGTCTCTTTCTCTTTAGCTAGGATCATGGCTTGGTGGTGGCAAACCAACAAGTGAGGTGAGGATCAAGCTGACGGCCATGTGATTATTGTCAAGAGTTTTTGTCATTTAATTTAATGATTTCTATCATCTTGCTATATGTTACCATGACCTGCCATTTCAGGTCGACCTGCTGCACTGCCTGATTGGCTGTTTATATGATCGATAACTGTAACCGGTCCAAACAGAGTTTTTCATTTCACCATCTCTGTCGATATCTTTTTTTTAATACATATATTCAGAGAAGAAGGGGCAATGATGCGTAACAAAGGCGAGCAAGATTCAGAGGCAATGAGCTGCCCATCCTGGCAAGCCAGGCATCTTCGAGCCACTCGGTGATTCAAAGTGAACCGGAATCAAGCAGACACACCATGGAAGCAATCAGAGTCAACCGGAATCAAGCAGACACGCCATGGAAGCCATCAGAGCAAAGGCAACGGGGTTGGCAGTCTAGCACGAAAGCTCTCGATAAGCCCAGGCACAGATCAGACAGTCCAGCACGACATCTGCTTGCGAGGCAGACAGTAGCAGCTCCTTTCAGCGCTTTCCAATACGGAAGGTCGTTCACAGTTCCAGCAGCACAAGCAATCAAGCATCCATATGAAATTCAAAATTCAAAAGTTGTATTACCGTATGGGACACTCCTGTGATCTCAGCGTCTTCAAATTCAGTTTTTGGAAGAGGGTGAGAAAATCAGCATGGAAACGTCTTACGGGTGCTTGCTATAAAAGTTGGCTGTATTTCAGAGAAGCAATTTGAGATAAAAGGATTTCCATGACAGGAAGCTGATCTTCAGCATTGCTACAAGATAGTAGGAAGCTAATATTTACATCAAAGAACCTAAAATGGTGAAACCTGCAGCGAATCAACAGTATGAAAAAGTTTACTGCTATCTTATCTGTACATGAAGTTTGGGCTGCCCGAGTACAACCCACAGGGTAAAGTGATTTCTTCTTCTTTTTTTCATTTTCAAGGAAAAAAAAAAGAAATAGAAATGAGCAGAGGTAGAACGGTTCTGATTTTTGTTGCATCTGACATCAGCACAGCTTTCCTTAGTTGATGATCCTAGGAATGCGGCGTCCAAATCTGGGATCCCTGAATTGATGAAACAGAATGCATATCAGAGATAGGGTGCTAACTAACTCAATAAAAAGAGAATACAATTTGTTATAGATGTAAGGTATCATGTTACGAGATTTTCAAATTGTAACAGCTGTAGGCTGTAGTGTTATGATATTTTCAAAGCCATGCGCAAGATTTGGTTGTCAAGAGCTGAAAACAAACTGTGCTGTTGGTTGTCATGTTTATTGGTTATCCAGTATGCCAATAGCATGTTTCAACAGCGAGTAATCCGTAATAATAACACTACAAAGTTTCAGCCAAATGATGCCAATAATCACTGCAGGGGGATTAAAACTTTTTATGGGCTCTCTGAACCCCCCAAAACAATGCATATGGACAAGAATGTAGCCATGTAATAATCAGAAGAATTGGGCACAGTTTGAGACTGAAGAAAAAAGTGTGCAAATGGAGAACATAAATAAAAAATCATTTCTCTTGATAGTGTGCATGTCATTTTAACCATATGATCTCTGAGTAATAACAGACAGCAGGAAATAACACAGTGACTACAGACCTGTAATGAGCAGCCATTCTCCTTGACACAGCAGCCCTAGTCATGGCCCCCATAACTATATATTCATCATCAATTTCATCAAATCTGATTTCTCTCATGTCAACAGATGTTGTTGGCACTTCAAGACTAAAGCTTTCTTGACTAGATCTGTTGCTGTTCCTTGTTCCACTACTTCTCCTTTCCCTTGTTCTTGTCCTTCTTCGGCCTCCTCCTGTAGACCTACAGAATGCTTTGCAAAAAATGCAGGATGTCCACCAGTTTGCTCTAACCCTGTGGTAAACTTCATAGTCATCTCCAGCTTCGTCATCCCCATACTCAATGACATAATCTCCAAGAACTATACCATTTGGAACTTGTGCATGTATTGTGCTCAAGACATCTATTATGTCAGAAGACTGCTGCAAGTTCTCCCAATCAACCTGGCGAGCAGGATCAATTTCAGAAGGGCGTGAATTTGGATGTTTTTGTTGGGTGTGCTTCTGAAGCTCATGGAAGTTGCCAACATACGAGCAGCAACTGTCTTCGCAGCATCTTTTCTTCTGGTTAAGGTGCAAGCGAGCCTCATCAATAACAAACCACCCAATCACATCACCTCTACACAACGGACAAGCTGGGCGGTTATTTGCATTTGATGAAATGATATGAATGCTATTAAGGGGAGCCACAGTACGAGATGAGACTTTGACATTGGCTGGTAGGCCATGAGCGCCTTTGAACCTCTCGAGACAGTTTGAGCGAGTCTGGTCAGTGTCACATATGAAAGGTCTACAGCCCTTCTCATACGAGGTGCACCTAAGCAGTACCGCATCGTGGGGGAAATCGAGACAGATTGGGCAAGCAACATCCTCCATCCAACTTTGATCAATTTTTATGTCCAGATCAAAGGAGCTGGGCCTTATCGCCTTCTTCATTACCAAATTCCCCGAACCCATGCTGAAATTCCTAGGCTGATGTTTGGCACTACCAAAGTTATCTTCTCATGGCAACCTGCATCGATCAAGCAGCAAGAAAATTAGCCTCTCAACCCTATAGTTTAGCATGTCACATGCATTTCCCATGTGCATCAAAGCCACAGACTTTGTATATGGAAACAATATCAGCGTGTTTACATCAAAATTTAGCAGTTTTTTTATAACATTTGTGCCATATAATTAGCAAAACTAATGGTACTGGAAGCTAAACAACTAGAAGTTCGATGCAGTAGCATGGTAGCGCCTTTCCAGATCAGCCAGCCAAATTTGAAATATATGGTTGCAATTAGTTGACCTCACTAGAGAAATGCTAACACAATCAGTTATGTTCTGCAGATATGAAACACAGTACCATGTTTCAAGAAAAGAAAAAAACAACAACTAGCCAACTCCTCATATTAATCAGTATCCAACTCCGCCCATATTAATCAGTATCAGACAGATGCAGTTGTAAGTAATAACTAGTAAGTTAATCCACAGCACACCTTAAACTAAATTAAACGGGTTTCGGAGGTAGGTGAACTCAATAAAATCCTCTGAAGAAAAATACTGAATCCAAATGTCAAAACCATCGACAGGCATCAGGTTAAGAAATCGAGTGGTAATTACGAAACTTCATCCAAATCATTACCCCTAAACCCAGCCCTCCCACGGTTCCACGAATCCCAGAAAAGAAGCAAAGAAGCGGATCCAATCGGGAACTATAAAGTCCACTGTATCACTGAGGAATTGCTTGAAATAAAAAACAAACAAACAGAAGAACACGTGATCGGCGCACAACCGCAGACCGCTCAACAGTCGCCGAAGTGGAGGGGAGAGGGGACGAGTCGTACCGCTGCGTCCTCCTCGGGGGGCGGGCGGGCTGCTGGTGGGTGACGGGGGAGAGAGCTTGAAGAACGGACGCCGCAGAAGACGACGAGGCGGGGTGAGGTGAGACGTCTTCCTCCCTGGCGGCCAGGCCTCTCCCTCTCTCCTCTCCGTGGGTCACGACGTGACCGCCGCACCCGTCCAGGCGACCGACGGTACGGCCGCCGCAGCAGAGAGGACGAGGAGGAGTCGGGGAGAGGCGGCGGTGGACCGGTGGTCCTGCGGAGGAGGGCACGCGGACTGCGGGTGGTTCGGTTTGGTTCGCGCGATTTGTCAGCGCCGGTGGCTGCATTTTGGGAGCATTTCTCGGAGCGGGTGGAAGAGAGGAGAGGAGGGAGCGAATTCCGACTTTGGGATAGGAGGAGCCTGAATTTCTAGGTCTCTTTCTCACTGCGATTGCGTCCTGCGATGGACTTTTGGAAACACTTGAATTTCATATAGTTTTCTCTTCACTTTTCCTAATCTTTGTTTTTATACCTATTAAGTTTGGCAAGGAACTATTTAGACTTTTAGAGCTTGTTTATTAGGTCTCCCGGGGCTCTGACTCCGAATGTAGCGTGAGGAGCCAAGAGCCGATGAATCCATCAAAACCAAACGATTCTCTAGCACGTAAGCAGAGGAGGCGTCTTGAAGTCATGTCTTCATTGTTTCTGTGTGTTTTCTGGATTCTTTTAATTTAGAGAGAGAGAAAATGATTTTTTACTACAGTTTGTAAAAACATTATCGGTAAAATATTTTGTTAGAGAGCCGATCGAACACCCAAGATACACCAAACGAGCTCTTAGTAGTAGTTGGAGGAATAAAAGAGTTGTAAATGTCAAGGTTTAGCGCTTCAAGCCTAGAATTTCTAGGTAAGGTAATGTATTAACACGCTGTTTTTAATTCTTAGGTTCCTCTTTTTCGATTATGTTATTATTATATTCGCAGCAAAACAAAAGGATATCCATCTTTTCTTCTCCTTTCTGGCTGTGATAATAAAGTTCAGTCCAACAGGGGATTTTTGCCTTTTGTTATTAGGACTTGAAAGCTTGTTTTGCCCCCCTTTGATAGGAATGGGAAATGAAACACTTAAAATGTTCACGTCTCAACAACCGTAGATGGGATATCAACTCAACATGAAAACAAAATGTACTGAGGGGGATCATGCATCATCAAATGCAACAAATAAAGGAGAGGAAATGAATATAACAAGCTGTACTGCACCAATATGTGTGTCCAACAGATGAAACATCAGCCATCAAATGCAACAGACAAAGGACAAAATAAATATAACAAGTTATCTTTTCCTTTCCAAAAAAGAAAAAAAGAATATAATATATGGGGGAAAAAACTTATCCATGATGGTTCTACTACTACTAATACTGACCAAAGCCAACCTCCTCCACTATTAAATTGTTACTAGTTTCTGGATTTCATATCCAGATTTGTATTATCCAATTGCAGTGGCCAAGAGAATTGTTCCCGTAGCTAATCTCAACTTGTGTGATCATCACATATTTGCAATAATTTACACAGGAGACAAGATAGCTGCCTGGTCGATCAGGAAAGTGCTGTCGACGATGTCTACATCAATAATGCATTATCAGTTTATCACGCAAAACATGTATTTTTTTTCTTGGGAAAACTCTAGGGAAAAGCATCTAGGACAGTCCCCAAAAGCTAGTTTTTTTTTTAATAAAAAAAAGAGAGAGGAAGGCCTATTCCAATCTTCCCTAAAAAGTGTTGCTGAGCTTTTGTCGAGATCGATCAGAGGTGGCATGCTAAGCTCCATGATCATGATTGAGTCATCGAATTCATATAATATTCGCCAATCATTCAGAGTCCCCGTGCAAATGTTTGATGAATTAGTAGTGCCTTCATCTCAAAGATATATACATATGGATGGCATATACTATAATATAATTATGAAAACATAATCTAATTAGGCTGAAAGAACCCTCAGATGCGTGTAGTAGTTACTAAGACTAAAAAGCATGCAGTCTAAGGGCACTTTCAGACAGTAACCTCTCTAGATTCACCACTAACTCCATCATCACCTTTTGATTTGTTTCTATAAGTTGAATGCTGTAAGACGGAGAAAAGGTGAAAAGGGGAGCAAAAGAAAGTGACTTGTTGTGTGGAAAGAATCAAAAGGGTGTCAGCATATATAAGGGTGGAAAGCCATCAAGATGGGAATCGGGGCGGTTTCTTGTTGTAGTAATATATCTTTGTTTGCGATGCCCCGTACGACTCTTACTGGAATTTTTTTTAGAGAGAACAACTCTTACTGGAATAAACTAAAATTTCAGTGGTTCTATCATTTTATTTGTTGTGTTGTTATTCTGGATCGCTTTCGGTTTGACTTTGCATTCGTAGACTTGATTTATTACTAGTTAAAAATGTGTTTTAGGCTTTGCGAGTAAATATAATAAAATTTAATTCGTCACTAGAAGCATGATGCCATTTGCAGGTTTGTGAGGACCATCATGGAGGTGGAGGGTGGCGTATTCAACAAAAGTCAACGAAAAGAAGGCCTAAGATTCCCAGTAAGGAAATCGGCTTTGTTATTTTCCGTGAACTAATGTATGCTGATTTGAAAGATAGTTCCCAGAGTCAAGACAAATCTAACATGCTTAAATATATGTTGTTACTATTACATTATATAAAAAAACTAACTTAAAGTACTCCTTGAAAAACGTGATGTGCGATTATTTTGGGACGGATGTCGGAGTCAGCACATGTTATGCTATCACGTTGATCAAGTATACTTGCATGTATGAGCAATACATTATGCTTGAGTAATTAAAAAAATCGATCTAAAAAAAATCATCCCCAAAAGGCGTTCACTAATAAGAAGAATCTGCTTCCATGCAGGCCGAGAAATTCGAGCATTGGGCGGTAGGGTTGCCTCACCTTCTTCTTAAGAGTATCTGGAGACTTCACTGGGCATTAAAAAAAATCCCAAAGTTCAATTGCTCTAGATGTGCCACCGAGCGGCGAGCGCCATGGCCACATGTTTACGCCTACGTGCGTCTTGCTGAAAACTATTTATCAGATGTTAAAAGTAAGTATACAGCTCAGGAACTTACATGTTTTTTAAACTCAGAGCTTTTGAAACTCGCTCCCACGAGGGAGTTGAACACATGACCTGAAATACTACTGAGTATGAATGTAATAGTATTTTGGCTAAATTTAATTCGTCTTCAACTCAGAATGAATGTTTGTATTTTGGCTAATTTTAGTGGTATAAGTGATGTGTTAATCAATAGCAAGGGATACTTGCAGCGATTTTATCAGTTTTATGAAGTGCAGGCCCAGTGTTTTAAGAAGCATTGGTAGAATTGAAGTGGGATTTGAGTGGGGTGTGAACATGCATACGTGAGTATCTGCGTTGTGTTTAGACTTTAAAGAAATGACGACCTAGCATCCCTTGTTCCATTTTCTTAGAAGAAAGTAAGCCGGATACAATCAACTTTTCATGACAGCGAGTCACAGGTGCAGTATATATGTATCCATCATGGACTCAAAAGGAAAAAGCTACCCAAGCGTCACATCTGGGTTGGAATGGGATGTGGTGGAGACTGATCGAGATAGGTTAACATCTTGATACTCCTAACGCTGGTATTCGAACCGAATAACCTGTTTCACCCCTATATCTATACTCTATACTATTAAAAGGTATTGTTAATTTTTTTCTTCGTCCCTCGGTCCGACGTTCCTCGCTCTCATCTTCTTCTTCTTCTTCCGTCACTTACTCTCTTTATTCTCGCATTTACGGGACGTTCCTCACTCTCATCTTCTTCTTCCGTCAATTACTCTCTCTATTCTCGTCTTTATGGATGTACGCTCACAACGTCGACTAGAAACATCATCTACCACTGAAAACTCCTATGGGAGACGAGCCCAAAACCTTATGTGCTACTAAAGCTCTTGTAACCACTATACTACATACTATTTTACAACACATATACACGATTCCTCCTATATATATGTAGTTCAACGACAAACTAAATCTAAAAAAGAAATACTCTCTCTGTCTATAAGTAAACCAATTTCTAAAGTTGTCTTAAGTCAAACTTTTTTTACGTTTGACCAAAAATTTATAGAAAAGAGCA